TATCCGACTCGGATGGATCCTTCCTTTCCTCGGAAAACTCGAGTTTTCCTTGCAAATCTGTATCTTCCTTAGGAATCTGCTCAAAATTCCGAACGAGGATCCTCCCTTGGTTTTTCACATATTTCCCCAGAAAAACGCGTTCTGCCCTCAGCAAACTCGAGCTCGGATTTCCAGTGCTTCGAGCGGTAGTCTCCGTGAATGCTGAATGCCAGGGCGCGCTCTACCCAATTTCGCTGGGCCTATGTTCGCGCTTCCATGATGGTCATATTCAGTCGCCGACTGGCTATCCCTAAATTTCATCCCTCTCATGGCTGTTTATCGTTTCCTACGCTTTATCTCTCTGCTTGCCGTGAGTACTGCCTTGAGGAAATCTGTCAAGTCAAGACAGAAATCTACCAAGGGACGTAGAACGGACGCTCAGCTAACCGCCGACCTCAAGGCTAAAGGGGTATGTCTGTTATCCTCCTCTCCAATCGTCTATACTGTGATTGCCGATTCGTACTACTACACACGAACTGTCGCTTGTGCCTCTGCCGTACGAAATGGTTTGCCCTTATGTGGTTCAAGCTACTTCAACAGCAATTCGCCCTGAGGCTACCATGCTCCTTGCAGGTTTCATTCCAGGCTAAGGCGACAGGCTGCAAGATAATGCACTCGACGCCTCTCAATCCGATGACTTTCACAATAACGTTTGATGGGAAGGCCCTGGATACAGAGTTCGAAGATACCCAGAAAAAGGAGAGCTTCAATTTGTAGGATTCGCGACGACGCCCACTTATCGGTTCGTTGAAAATTCAAGCTCATCTTCAGCTACGAGAGTGCAAATACTGCAATGTGGACCGAGCAAGACGACTTTGATGGTATTCAGCATCTCGTGGTTTTGAAAAAGGAAGATTGGCAGAGATTTCGCTCCGAGTTACTGCCATTGGCGCATTTATCACAGGATACGCTTGAGAAGATACAACAGCTCCTCACCCCCAAACGAAGGAAGAAACCTATCGAACGGTCTCAATGTCTTCGTCTGATTGAAGTTATCATGAGTCATGCGCCACTCCAGTACAAGCACTCTGAGGAGGCTAGCACTGAATGGATATACAACTTCTATGCAGCTCATGGACAGAGAATACGGAAAGAATTAACAGAAATAGAACGTATCTCTGATCTCCAGTCTAAAGGGGTATGTACACACTCGTCCAACGTCGTGCACCGTCGTCAGCTTCGTCGGGTGATGTGTAGTAATCGTAGCGGGATGTATATGATTACACGCGCATATTTATCATACTAGTGTTATGAGATCCATTATGGAGTCAGCGGGGTCATCACACCGTTATGGTTGTCGAAATCGCTACCTATTTCTCAGACATTGATCCATCCGGAGATTGCGGGATGCAGGATCGAGCAGATCGAGCCTCTCCCAAGAATGAACTTCACTGTCTTCGTTTATAAAGACCATTTGACCACACTGTTTGAAGACAGTGAGGCGGGGACGAGCTTCTACTTGTAGGTCCATCATAGGGGTGGCAGTCCCACTGGGGCGACCATAATTCATTGCTTTTTCAGTTCCTGGGGTGAGGTCGTTTGGGGTCACAAGGACGATGAGGACCATCACGCATTGACTTTGACGGATCAGGATCGTTCAGACCTTACTGAGAACGACTGGTTGCCATTGGCACATGTTTCGGATGAAATTGTCGCAGCGCTAGTGGACGCGAACGAACAGAAGAACGAATTGAGCACGATGTCTCAATGCCTTAACGTTGTTGAACTTGTCATTGCCAATCCAATGACTGGTTATGAAACCGATGATTCTAGCACTAACTGGATCTTCAAGTTTTACAACCATAACAGCGAACACATGAAT